TTAACGAGTGCGACTGTTCGTATTCTGAGCTATCCGTTGGTCATTTTTTTCCCCTTCTTCGCATCATATCGCTATCGGTTACCTCCTTTCCGCCATGATCAGCTTTGTTTCCACCGTTTCAGCCTCCGTCATCACCACCATGAGCGGCTAAGTTCCCGGTTATCTGTTATGGCATAGGCGAGATCAAGATTGACTCCACGGCTCTGCTCATCAGCTCTCGACTAGTTGGATGAGCCTGATTATAGGACATTTGGTATTATTGTGCTTCGGATTATATTTGTTTTCGTTTCATGTTGATTTCGATACTTTAATATGGTCTTAGCATAATCTGTGATGAGTATTGTTGTCCATTGTGATTTGATGTTTTCATAGAACTCGCTGAATGATAAACGTTGGTTTGATTATTAAATGATGAATATTGCTTTTCATTACTTCGCACTGATTGTAATTGAGTTATGTTTGGATTTAATTTAATTTCTACTGTTGTTGTGTTTATTGTGAAGTTGGTTGATTGGAATATACATGTTGACAAATTGTATTTGTAAATCATGTACCAACTAGTGGTATTGCCTTGTAGCGTTTATCGACGTTCAATGATAGTCTTTAACCAATCGAACTTGAGTGATCGGGTGAGACAGGATAGATTATACTTAGAGTGCCAGAAAGCCATTTCATTGATTTACCCTGCCTTCTGGGTTTAGGGGATCGTAGAGGGTGGAGGAGAATTGTGTGAGTTGGTCTTGTGTCGAACCAAAACCGTAAAGGCAACGTTTTTATTATAAAGTCTTTATTAGTTTTAATTTCACTCTTTTATTATTTGTATTTAGTTTGTTTAGTTTCATTAATCAAATTGCAAATTTCATTTCCGCTACTCAAAATACATTAGGTTGTTAGTCTTGCTTCCTGTGAATTCGACCCTGCTTACCGCTAACTACGGTATTTAGGTTTAATTTTGTGACTGCGACAACCAGTCTGACAAAATTTTGGTGCCGTTGCCGGGGAGCAACGTGCTTTTGACTTTTTGTGTTTGGGTAGTCCTTATTTTTTATTCTAGGTTTATTTTAGTCTTTGTTTTTGTTTGTGTTATTTTCTTTGTAGTGATTATTTGTTTGGGTGAATTGTTTAATTTTTGTGTTCTGTTTAGTTTGTCTCTTTGCATTTTGGTTAATTATTTTCTTTTTAGGTTGTTGGTGTAATTTCATTTTTACTTCATTTTATTTCATTTTCATTTTATTTTCATTGGAATAGTTTCATTTGTGTTGTTTTTGTTTCGTAGGAAAATTGCAATTGGGAAAACGCTGCAGCGTGTCATGAGCATTAAAGATCCTGCATGACCCGATTGTGAAATTCTCTTAACCTTTGATTTTTTTTATTCCTAGGATTTAATTTTTGTTCTTAGTATTAAATTCTTTTAGGTTGCATTGATAACTTTAGTTTTGATTAAGCATATTTGTTGTGTGAAATTTTGTTGGGTATAGTTTTGTTAGATTTTAGATTTGTTTTAGTTTTGTTTCGTGTGCTTATTAAAATTTGTTTCTTAGGATTTGCATTTGGATAATTTTCTTTGAGATTGTTGTTGCGTTGCTTGTTGAGCCTTTTGTGTGTTTGATTGATGAATGCAAACTAGAAGGTCTTCTAACGAAGAGTTATTACCTTTGAATCTTGAAATTGAATGCACTTGTAAGGGGAATAGAAAACAAGCACGTAGGATGGCTGACTAGGATGAACCCGCACATGTGCCCCTTAGCCAACATTTTTCACCCACCAACTACACTTCAGCCTCATGTATCCGTATCCCCAATGTTCAGACACAACACTATGAGATCAAAACTAGTGTCATCCAATTGCTGCCAATTTATTATGGGAATTTAAATGACGAGCCATACAAACAACTTCGATGAATTTTTAGAGGTTTGCTCCACAGTCAGACTTCAACATGTGAATGAAGATGTCGTGCGCTTAATTTTATTCCCATTCTCACTTAACGATCGAGCCAAACAGTGGCTCAATTCTTTGGCAGCAGAGTCCATTATCTCTTGGGCCCAAATGCAACAAGGATTCCTAAAAAAATATTATCCCATTGGTAAAACCAACAGCATAAGATGAGCCATCACTAGTTTCACTCAACTAGATGGCGAGGAATTTTATGAGAGTTGGGAACGTTTGAAGGAAATGCTTAGGAAGTGTCCCCATTACGCAGTCCCTAGGTGGCAATTAGTTCGTAGTTTTTATGACGGACTGACCGAGAGGCATAGGAATATGGTAGAAGCCTCTTGTGGAGGAACATTTATGCACAAAGACGAGAATGAGTTATGGCAACTCTTCGAGACCTTAAGTGAAAATTCAATGCACCACATTTCTGCGTTTAGAATGCCTATCTTAGGGCAGCCATCCAAAAAGGGTGGCGTTTATGAGGTGTCACGGTTAGATGACATTAGTTCCAAGCTAGAGGTGTTAGCCTACAGGTTTGACAAGTTTGTATCTATACAAGGGCAACCCTTTACACAATGATCTCAGAATAGGGTGAACCATGATATTTTTGCCATGCACTCCACTCTTGACCATCCAATTGAAGAACCCGTCTCTGACCCTTTTGAGGAGCAAGTGCAAGTTGCACAAGGCTTCCAAAGATGGAGCGATCCATACTCGAACACGTATAATCCTGGGTGGTTAATTTTTCATGGAAGCCACAACCACCTTAGAATGTCCCTAATAATATGACATAAAGGAACAATCCTTCCAATCAGCAGGGCAATTATAGGGAGCAACCTTCAATCCAACCACCCATCTAACTTAGGATCCCACCTCTCGTTTAGCAGCTTACTCCAGTGCCGAGTTCACTAGAATCAATGATGGCTCAAATGCTCTAAACCATGTAGGAACAAAAAGCTGACATGAATGCTAGGTTCCAAGATTTAGAGCAGAATACCCAACTTCTACATTATCAATCCCAATCCATTAGTAAGCTAGAGACCCAGATTAGTCAAATAGCCGAAGTAGTCAATATGAGGGAACAAGGCCAATTGCCTAGTCAAGTCATAGGTAACCCTAGTGGTTCTTCTCAACAGAGAGGGTTTTTCGAACAAGCTAAGGCCGTGATGACTCTTCGAAGCGGCAGAGAGCTAATTAGGCCTGAGAGGGAAGTAAAAGTCCAGCGTAGAGAAGAGGAAAGTCTAGGTAGGGACTAAGCCGAAGAGAGTGAGAGTGAGTCACTTGTAGAGTCAAGTGTTTAGAGACCGGGTAAGGAAAAAGTTGGGGAGAATGAACCATCCCCGCATCATACATATCGAGAGCACCCTTTCCTCAGTACTTAGAGCCCCAAAATGTTCCCACTAGTAGGAAAAGTGCTAGGATGGAGGAAATGATTGAGTTGTTTAAGCAGGTACAGATTAACATTCCACTCTTAGATGCCATTAAGCAAGTACTTGCGTATGCCAAATTCCTCAAAGACTTGTGCAAGCAAAAGAGGCAAATGAAATCTCACACACCTAAGACTGTACATTTACCAGAAAATGTAAGTGCGATTGTCTCAAACCGTATTCCCGCAAAGTTAAAGGATCTTGTAGCTCCTATTATTTCTTGTGTGATAGGTAATGTCACGATTGATAGAGCACTCTAAGACTTAGGGGCAAGCGTGAACTTATTACCTACTTCCGTGTATGAACAGTTTAACTTAGGTGAGCTCAAGTCTACTGAAGTCATCCTATAATTAGCTGACCGATCGGTCAAAATGCCTAGGGGCCTAATTGAGGACGTGTTAGTTAAGGTTGAGGAATTATATTTTTCGGTGGATTTCCTTGTCTTAGACATGCAATATACGAGCAGTGGAAGTATGCCATCGATTATTTTAGGGAGACCTTTTCTAGAAATGGAAAATGCTTGCATTAACTGTAGATCAGGAGAGATAGAAGTGTCTTTTGGGAATAGGAAACTGAGACTTAATGTGTTTAATGTTGGTTTAGGACTGATGCGTGAGGATGATAACGAGTGTTTCATGGTTGATGCTATTGACAGTCTAGTGGAGGCTCACGCCCCACAGATGTTATGTGATGATGCAATTTATACTCTTATGAATCCGTTTATTGAGGAGATATCTAGCTTGAGTGTCATGTCTGAGATTCAAGAGGTTAATGCATATATGGCTAGGTCACCCACTGTAGAGCGTCGACCTTGGAACATCAAGTATGAACCTTTACCACCTTTGTCTAAGACGACACAACATAGGTCAGTTGAGTCTCCACCAGTCTTAGAGTTGAAGGCCTTGCCTGATACTCTAAAGTATGTTTTCCTAGGACCCAACAAGACCTTACCTGTGATCATTACCGCCAACTTAGATAGTGGTCAAGAGGAAAGATTATGGCAGTCTTGATAGCACATAAGGAAGCAATCGGTTGGTCAGTAGCCGATTTGCGAGGGATTAGCCCTTCTTTGTGCATACATCGCATATTTTGTGAGGAGAATGCTAAACCGGTGCATGAAGCTCAAAGAAGGTTAAACCAGAGCATGAAGGAGGTGGCCTCACCATTGTTGAAAATGAAAAAGGTGAGCGAATTCCTACCCGTACTCCCACAGGATGGAGAGTTTGCATTGACTATAGGAAGCTCAACCTGGCCACTAGGAAAGATCATTTCCCGCTCCCATTTATTGACAAAATCCTAGAAAAACTTGCAAGGCAGACTTTCTATTATTTTCTGGATGGCTATTCCAGATATAACTAAGTACCAGTTGCCCCCGAAGACCAGAAAAAGACCACGTTCACATGTCCTTTTGGTACGTTTGCGTTTCGTCGCATGCCCTTCGGGTTGTGCAATGCACCGGCAATGTTTCAAAGGTGCATGTTACCGATATTTTCTAACATGGTGGGTCAATTCCTTGTAGTCTTCATGGATGATTTTTCTATGTTTGGTGCATCTTTTGATGATTGTCTCGAAAAACTTGAGTTGGTGTTGAAATGTTGTAAAGAGACAAATCTTGTTCTTAGTTGGGAAAAGAGCCATTTCATGGTTCAAGAGGGAATTTTCTTAGGTCACGTAGTTTCCAAGAAGGGGATAGCAGTGGATAAGGCAAAGGTACAGTTGATTTCTCAACTACCACTGCCTTTCGGTCAAATAAATTAGATCTTTCCTAGGCCATGCAGGATTTTATAGGCGTTTCATCCAAAATTTTAGCAAGATCTCTAAGCTTTTGTGTGATTTGCTTGCTAAAGATGTGCCATTTGTTTTTGATGACTCTTGTATGGTTGCCTTTACCATTTTAAAGGAAGTGTTGACCACAGCACCCATCATGCAACCTCCTGATTGGAACTTACCTTTTGAAGTGATGTGTGACGCATCAAACTATGCCATTGGTGCAGTCCTTGGCCAACGAGGGAATAAAAAGCCTGTTGTGATCTACTATGTAAGCAAGACCCTCTCCGATGCTCAATGTAATTACACCACTACGGAGAAAGAGTTGCTTGCAGTAGTGTTTTCCCTTGATAAGTTTCGGTCTTATCTTCTTGGGTCTAGGATAGTTGTCTTTACATACCACATTGCAGTTAGATATTTGTTAGACAAGAAAGACACTAAGCCTAGACTAATTCGATGGATTTTGTTGTTGCAAGAGTTTGATCTAGAAATCAAAGATAAAAATGGTAGTGATAATATGGTTGCCGACCACTTGTCTAGACTCTTTACAGAGTATGTCCCTGGTCAATGTTTGAACGAATCTTTCCCGAATGAGCAACTGTTTTCAATATCCCAATCCAAAGCACCTTGGTATGCCTATATAGTCAATTATTTGGCCGTAGGACAATTACCATGAGGGTGGGCTAAAACTCAGAAAGATCATTTCTTTGCAACCATCAAACATTATTTTTGGGAAGACTTGGACCCTTTTAGGGTGTGTACAGACCAGATTGTTAGAAGATGTGTTCCCAACCACGAGTTTAGTAGTGTGCTTGCATTTTATCATTCTTATGCTTGTGGTGGTCATTATAATGGCAAGAGAAAGGTCCTCTAGTGTGGTTTTTATTGGCCCACTCTTTTTCATAATGCATTCTTTTATTATCATGCTTATACTTCATGTCAAAAATTAGGGAATATTGGTAGACGAGATATGATGCCCCTGAATCCTATTTTGGTTGTGGAGGTATTTGATGTGTGGGGTATTGATTTTATGGGTCTATTTCCCTCATCTTTTGGCTTTGAATATATCTTGCTTGCAGTGGATTACGTGTCTAAATGGGTAGAAGCCATTGCCACTACGACCAATGATCACAAGGTGGTCATCAACTTTGTTCAATCGCACATCTTTAGCCGTTTCGGTCATCCGCATTCCATCATCAGTGATGGTGGCTTGCATTTCACCAATAGGCACTTTGGCTCACTATTGAAGAAGTACTCAATCAGCCATCGAGTTGCCACACCTTATCACCCTCAAACTAGTGGACAAGTGGAACGTGCTAATAGGAAAATTAAGACTATCTTAGAGAAAATGGTACAGCCCGATCGTAAGGATAGGTTGGTGCATCTAGATGATGCACTTTGGGCCTATCGAACCGCATATCATACCCCTGTTGGCATGTCCCCTTATCGGTTAGTTTTTGAGAAAGCATGTCATTTACCTATAGAACTTGAACATAACGCATATTGGGCTACAAGGAAATTCAATTTTGATATGACCATGGCTGGTGACCATAGGAAACTCCAACTTTCAGAGTTAGATAAGCTAAGACACGAAGCTTATGAGAACTCTCGCATCTCTAAAGAGAAGACTAAAGCTTTTCACGATAAACACATTGTTAGGAAGTCATTTTATCCTAATCAAAAAGTGTGGCTCTTTAACTCTAAGCTTTGCCTCTTTTCGGGGAAGCTTCGGTCACGATGAGATGACTCTTTTATTGTTCTTAATGTTTTCCCTCACGGAGCTGTTGAAATTCGAAACCCAAAAATGAGACAAGTTTTTAAGGTGAATGGCCAAAGACTTAAACCTGATGTTGATGGCATTAATGATGGAGAGGTGATTGAGGAGTGTTCTTTATTAAAACCACATTAGCCATGTCAGTGCACTGAGTTTGGCTGAAGACTTTAAACTTAGCGCTTGTGGGAGGCACCGACCTTTGTAAATATGTTTTTACTACTTTTATGTTTTTGTTGTTTTTGTCTTTGCAGGAATTGCCATGTTTGGAAACTCATTAACTAGTCCAAGGCTACACTTATGCATGCTCCACAAACTCTGTTAATGACAACCCCACCATTGTTCCTCAGGTTGTATCTCTCTACCTTATATGCTGTTATTGTTAGATTTCTTGTTTCTCAAATATGTTGGACGATTTTAATATTATTGATCATTTTGCCATTTGAGATCATTTAAGATCATTTGATGCTAAGTTAGGGAGGATATTTGTAGTTGTGGGTCATTGAGGATAATGACATTTTAAGTTGGGGAGTGTTGATTGATTTTTATTTTGTAGAGTATGTTGTTGATCATATTTTTGGGAAGTGTTATGGATGATGCTTTTGTGGAGATTGTGATATTTTTGTGAAGTGTTGTTGGTGATGCTTTTGTGGAGATTGTGATATTTTTGTGAAGTGTTATTGATGATGCTTTTGTGGAGGTTGTGATATTTTTGTGAAATGTTGTTGATGATGCTTTTGTGGAGATTGTGTGTTGAATGGATTGTGCTTAAATTTTTGTGGCATGATGATGTTGTTTTTTGTTGGAAATATGTTGAATCTTACTCTTGTAAGTCCAAAAGTGGTTAAGGTGAACTAAAGTGAGTTATTTTTAAATTTTTTCATGAATTCATGCATAATCACCATTTAGGCACAAGTGAGATGCTAGTTGAAAGGTTTTGTGAGGTTTTTGAAAATTGTTTGTTGCAACATGGTTTTAAACATTGAACTATTGGTTCTGTTTTGTGCTAGGTTTGTCCATAATTGTGGTTAGACACTGTTTTGTTTAAATGTCATGTGTTTTAGTGTTTATGCAAGTCTCCCACATACTTTACATGCCCATGAGCAAAGTTTCATTTATTATCTTGCGTGTGTTAAAAGTGCTTAAATGTTGCTTGATGATTTGTTTTTGATTTGTAGCCTAGTTGACTCGAGTGAGTACGCCTGAAGGGTGTTCTACACCTAATCCCCTGAAGCTATCTAGCTTGGGAGCGGTTGGCCTAAAGCTCGTTACATGGGTCCTCTAGAAATCTTACGAAGTCATTACATAGATCATAAGCTTTATAAAAAGAAATAAAGAAATAAAGTCTTGACTTGTAGCCTAGTTGGTTCGGGTGAGTAAGTTCGAGGAGTGTTCTACACTTAGTGCCCTATGACCATCTTGTTTGGGAGTCATTGACCTAAAGCCCATTACACGGACCTTCTAGAAAGCTTAAGAAGTTTAAAAAAACAAAAAAAAGTGATGAATAAAAAGAAATAATATGTCAAAATCTTGTGTGGAAAATGAGCATTATGTTGCATGTATATAAGTTGGGGAGTTTTGCATGACATCTTAACATTGTGATATGAATATGAAATGTGTGTTTGAGAAGCTTAAATGGAGATAGGCAAATCTTGATAGAAACTTTGGTTCTTATTTAGGATTATGTTGTTTGCATGTTAGGTTCAAATTCTTCACTTTACCTTTGGATGAATATCTTGGTTGTTGATGAATATGGTTGTGTATGTTTTTGTGAGAATGTTGAAAGAGTTCTTTTAATTTTACTCGAGGAAGAGCAAAGAGTAAGTTGGAGAGTGTGTTAGAGTCATGAAAGTGACTCTATTTTGGTGATAAAAATACCCCAAGTTTGATTAAATTGAAGTATATTGAGACAATTAAAGAATTTACGAATTTATTCACGAAAATCGCTTCCTAATATTTTTCATATGAATTTAACATGTTTGGAATGATTTTAGAAAGGATATGAGTTGATATTAAGTTGTGGTTTATGGATTAGGGGTGATTTTGTCTCATTTATGCTGTTTAGGGGGTAAACTGTCATATTTACAAGGGTTAATTTTGTCACTTTTTAATCGTGTAGGGACCAAAGTGATATTTTGTAGTTTGTCTATAAAATGAAAACAAAAGGTCGTGTACAGGGGCACTGTTCATCCATCTCTTCGTCTTCCTTTTTCGGTGGCCTCCGACGATGATCCATCTTCCCCGTGCACCGATCTTCATCAGCCGCCATCACCACCGCAAATCACGCACCACCATCGCGACGTTTTGCATTACGCTGTCATGACTCTTCATCTTCCAGCCATTATTTCTCCAGTTTTTGGTGACGTTTCAGCTCCCTGGAGGTTGATCTTCCTTCCCCACGGCCGGATCTACCCATTCCAAGCTTCAGCTGCCTCAAAAACTGCCGGAATCCGCCAAATCACCTTCGCGCCTCTTCATCTTTCAGCCGAGATCTTGCTCATTTTTGGTGACCTTTCACCTCCCCAGGACCTGATCTAAACTCCCCATCATCAGAGCTTTCCATCGGTACCTTCGGATCCCATTTTTGCCACCATTTTTCGAAAGACCCATCGAAAAATTAACGTTTTCTGGCGAGTGCGACTGTTTGTATTTCGAGCTGTCTGTTGGTCATTTTCGCCCCTTCTTCGCATCATATCACTGTTGGTTACCTCCGCTTCGCCATGATCAGCTTTGTTTCCATTGTTTCAGCCTCCGTCATCACCACCATGAGCCGCTAAGTTTCCGGTTGTCTGTTACGGCATAGGCGAGATCGAGATTGACTCCACGGCTCTGCTCATCAGCTCTTGACTAGTTGGATGAGCCTGATTATAGGACATTTGGTAGTATTGTGCTTCGGATTATATTTGTTTTCGTTTCATGTTGATTTCGATACTTTAATATGGTCTGAGCATAATCTGTGATGAGTATTGTTGTCCATTGTGATTTGATGTTTTCATAGAACTCGCTGAATGATAAACGTTGGTTTGATTATTAAATGATGAATATTGCTTTTCATTACTTCGCACTGATTGTAATTGAGTTATGTTTGGATTTAATTTAATTTCTACTGTTGTTGTGTTTATTGTGAAGTTGGTTGATTGGAATATACATGTTGACAAATTGTATTTGTAAATCATGTACCAACTAGTGGTATTGCCTTGTAGCGTTTATCGACGTTCAATGATAGTCTTTAACCAATCGAACTTGAGTGATCGGGTGAGACAGGATAGATTATACTTAGAGTGCCAGAAAGCCATTTCATTGATTTACCCTGCCTTCTGGGTTTAGGGGATCGTAGAGGGTGGAGGAGAATTGTGTGAGTTGGTCTTGTGTCGAACCAAAACCGTAAAGGCAACGTTTTTATTATAAAGTCTTTATTAGTTTTAATTTCACTCTTTTATTATTTGTATTTAGTTTGTTTAGTTTCATTAATCAAATTGCAAATTTCATTTCCGCTACTCAAAATACATTAGGTTGTTAGTCTTGCTTCCTGTGAATTCGACCCTGCTTACCGCTAACTACGGTATTTAGGTTTAATTTTGTGACTGCGACAACCAGTCTGACAAAATTTTGGTGCCGTTGCCGGGGAGCAACGTGCTTTTGACTTTTTGTGTTTGGGTAGTCCTTATTTTTTATTCTAGGTTTATTTTAGTCTTTGTTTTTGTTTGTGTTATTTTCTTTGTAGTGATTATTTGTTTGGGTGAATTGTTTAATTTTTGTGTTCTGTTTAGTTTGTCTCTTTGCATTTTGGTTAATTATTTTCTTTTTAGGTTGTTGGTGTAATTTCATTTTTACTTCATTTTATTTCATTTTCATTTTATTTTCATTGGAATAGTTTCATTTGTGTTGTTTTTGTTTCGTAGGAAAATTGCAATTGGGAAAACGCTGCAGCGTGTCATGAGCATTAAAGATCCTGCATGACCCGATTGTGAAATTCTCTTAACCTTTGATTTTTTTTATTCCTAGGATTTAATTTTTGTTCTTAGTATTAAATTCTTTTAGGTTGCATTGATAACTTTAGNTTTTTTATCATAATAGATTTTAATGGATCATTCGATCCCGTGGTTTTTCAATCTCTTCACATCGAAGAGGTTTTTCCACGTAAAATTGCTTGTGTTTCTTGTGAATTTGATTGTTGTTTCAGGCATATTTGCTCAAGGTTTTGCTCCTCATAGATTCATTTAAGTAGGAAATATTTTGTTAATGCATTATTTCTTTTCAAAGTGGTATCAAAGTGAGGTTGTAGATTGTTTAAATGATGGAGGCAAATTTGAGTAAAATGGTTTGTTTGAATGGAACAAATTATCATAAGTGGGAAGGGCAAATGAAAGATCTTCTATTTGTGAAAAGGCTACACTTTTGCTTCGGAAAAACCTAATTCTAAAAGTGACGAAGAATGGGACTTTGAGCATGAACAAGTGTGTGGCTAATTAGTAGGGGTGAGCACGGGTAGCGGGCAGAACTAGAATTGGAACCTACCCGAAACTGACATGGTGCGAGTAGGTTCCGGTTCCATTCTACTGGAGCTGACACTGTGTGGTTTTGGTTCCCATTCCTACAAGTTTCGGAACCGGAATTGTAACCTAGGAAAAAAACCTGAAGCAGGTACCCGACTTGGAACCTGTCTGTGTTTTGGTTTTGATTGAGAAATTTTATGTGAATTGTGATGAATTGGTTAAATTCAAGTGTTGCCTGGAGATTAGAGGATTTATGAGTCACGTTGGACACAAATGAATGAGTAATCAAAAGTTGAAAACTACTAAATGTAGGTTTTCTTAATTTGTTAGGGGTGTATTAATTTGTAAACTTTTAAGATATTTTTGTCATTTTTTGAACTAATAAGGGGGTAATTGATTTTTTATAGGGTACCCAGGTAAGGAACCAAAGCCGACAGGCTTTGATTTCGATTCCTTTTTTTGGGAACCTGCATT